CAGCGGGATTGGTTTCATCAATTCTGCATTCTTCATCTACATTCTAAGGCATTTTCAGCGATGAACCACTTACCGACTTACCTGACTAACAGGCGTAATTTCTTGTAACGTTCATTAACGTTACACACAGGATTTTGTAGCGCTCGTCGCCATGAAAGGAAAATGAATCGACATGACCAAAAAAAAAACATGTTTTGAAAATTCAGAAATTGGATTCAGAGCTTATCTAAAGGAAAAAAAAAACATATGGTACAGTTTTGAAGACACTTTTGTGCATGGAATGGATGAGAAAAATCGCGCACGACGGAAAAAGACTGCTCGGCGCAACGCCTCAAATGTCAGCCATGAAATATTTCGAAATTCGCGAAAACTAACACAGAGCCCAAACCCCGACCGTCAGGCTTGGTTCCGCAGCGAGCCCGGGGGAATAGAAGAAAAAAAAGGCGGCTCGCCCGAACTGGCATTTTTCCGGGTCGGCGCTTCGGGACGAGTCCGTCGATCCGATCGCTGAGGTTGTGCGGCAGTTCTCCTTTCGGACAGCGAGGCGGTGGACGTTTGGAGCGATAGCTCGAATCTTTTGGGGGGGAAAGAACAACTCAACGTGGTTAGCGAGTTCGTGCTTCGTCTCATAGCAGTAAAGTTACTGAATTACGACAGATCATCTTTTTGCATCATACCTTCATGGACACAGTTTATTATTCAGTGGGACATTGGTGCGATTCTCCCCTGGAACGAAGCATCATGACCTCCATGGAACGAAGCATCATGAGTTGACCCGGTTGCTCGGCACGTCTTTTCCACCAGAGAGGCAAAGGATTTGGATTTGGATCTCTGGTCGCTGCGAACACGGAAAATTCGTGCCTTGAAGAGGGGGGAAATTCCCGAATCGCAACGTTTTCGTCTTCGGTTGCGTCGGTTCCATCGCTTCGCTCGTATCTTGGACGAAGGCATGGGAATGATATATCAATAATATGTAAACTCCTAAAGTAACACGCACATTTTAACTGGAGACGTTCCGTCCGTGTGATTCACGTTACGCATCATTTGACTAATGTTGCAGAGTTCTCAAGAAACTATGAAAAGCGAATGCTTCCGTTTAAATTTAGACAATATTATATGTTCATCGTGAACATATGTAATGCAGGCTTAGAAAAAGTAGCAGGTTGTCATTCCTCATGAAAAGGGAAATAGTAATGTCACATCGAAATGAGTGCATCTTTAACATGCAATTTCTTACGTTTTTGATCATCTTGGCTGCGGCATCGCCATTTTAAGTCTGAGGATGTCAATATGGCAATATTTTGACTCGTACCAATATGCATTATTTTTTTAATGCATTTTTGAAGGCGTTTGCTAGGCGAAAGCTGAAAACCTGGAGATGCATCACGATTCCCGTCGAAAATTACGGTCTCATTCGAAGTTACCGGTTCAGACGAATCTTCAGCGACGTCTTGCGTCCCATCCGGCGAAATAGGACTCGATCCGAAAAATATTCAGACCACTTGTAACTTCTTTTTACTTCCCGTATGCCTGAAAACAGCAAGTAATAAAATGCATTGTACCTCCTTCTAAAAATGGCTCGAAGTTCGAAAAATTGTCTGGCTGACCATGACAGGATCAAGGAACACAAATGACTCCGAAATGCCGAAAGAGGAGCGAAACCATGTCCGACGGACAGACTCGAAGATTCCCGGTTGCCAGGAACGGGGACGCATCGAAAATACTTTGCGAATGATTTTGCTTCGAGCCCTTGCGTCGTGTTGAGATCCATTCGGTTCCATGAGAGGTTATTAATATAGGAAATACAAGGCTTCGATTTGGTATGAATATTCATGGCTCACCCGCTACATATTTGCAATATTCCTCGACTGTGCAACTTTCGTAACCTCAGTCACAAGTTACATATGTCCCACGTCGAAGGTCTTCTCTCTTTACATCTATATCGAGTGTCAGTGAGCAAAAAATGCAGCAAGTGCTGCTGAAGGGCAGAAATAAATTATGGAGAAGCCTAAGTCGGGGTAGCTGGATCCATATCTTATCTCCTTTCTGCCTTTCGGAATTCGCCACAGGGTAAACGAGGAATCCAATCCCCGAGCAGCTGATACTTACATCGACGTAGATCTCGATCAGATAATCGTGAAAATCCGCAATTTGATGAGTAAACTGATGAAGATATTACTGTATATTACAATTCCTTTTCTTACTTTTGAGGTCCAATTTGTGTATAAAAAAAAAGACTCCACGTGTATAAGGCGCACCCCCCTATTTCGTAGGGAAAGTGTCGGACAAGGGAGATGAATAAGGGGTAAAGCCGATCTTGAGGTAGGCCGAACCTCGCTTCCTATTCACTGTCCTAACCTTTATCGAGGGGGGGCACAGTATCCCTAACTTTTTTTTATAAGCCGTGAAAATGAATGGATACGTACAGCGAAGTTATACAGCTGCAGAGAAATCCATGTGATTCAGGAAAAGCGAAGGAGTCGGGTATCCGTGCAATAGGACGTAAGTATGATATCGAGGAAAGCTTTATAAGGAAGCTGATGGAGGTGAAATTGAGCCAGGCTCTGGAGAATCTCATGGCCTTTCGTGGGGAAAAAGGGATCATTTCCGGTAATCAAGAATGACATGGCCGAGAGTGATCCGACGCGAACCCACACGATTGCAAGAGCAAACGCGATCTCCCATCGAAAATGCAATGCATTATGATGAACGACACGATTTATGATGCGAGTTGGATTTTCTCTTCGTCGGAAAACCTCAGCGGCTCAAAAATTTCCGTGAGAAATGATTGTCTCTGGAAGGGCCCCTCGGAGGAGGATTAGAGCTCCGCAAATCGATTTTCCACGTTGCCGGACACCTCAGTTTCCAAAACCGAATGAAATCCGAGAATCGACGTAGCCACTCCTTGTTTGCTGCTTCACTCAAAAAAACAATTTTTTTTTGAAAATGAGAAATTTTCCCTCGAGTATAAGACACACCCTCTCATCGAACGCAATAAAATATGCAAAAAAAGCGCTTTATACACGAGTAAATACGGTATTTCTTCTCCTCCCTCTGACCACCCTCGTCTGGCTCCAATACCTTCCCCTATTCTGTGGACAAATCTGTCGAGATCGTCTTTCGTTCGAAGTCCGAAACTGGAACGGGATTCCAATTTCGGAATTCAACGAAATCGCATGATGATTTGATACACTCATACTAGGTTGAAATTAATTATGAATTTTTTTTTAAATTCAAAGGTTCAGCACCTGTTTTCAGAAGCAGAGCTGGTGATGATGGTCATGAATCTCTGTAAAGCCATAGTAACAAGCTGAATATATTTATTAGAAACCCTTTAGGTCTGAATACAAAAAATCTTTGATTATTTTCTGTCAATGGAAAGAGGCAATGCAATTAATCCAATGAAAGCATTGCATTAATATCAGCGACATGAATATTTTAATGACAAAACTTGGAGTTTTGAGGCACAACTAAAATAGAGGCAAGCATTATGGAACTTGCAAGTATTTTAGACACAGAGGATGCAGGAAATTTTGTTTTAACATGGTCCAAGGACAATCCAAAGTATCTGAAATTTTGAAGGGTACTATTCCACATCCATATGGTTATCAATATTTCCCTCATCATTCATATCACCTGTGAATGATACTTTATAACTTTAACAAGGAATGAAAGAAACTCCAAAGATTTCATTCTGGATCCTGCAGAGCCAATCACAAACACAATGCTAGCAACTGTCTCGAAAAAAACAATATCATCTATCTGGATAAAATATCACCATCATTGAACAAGTCAGCATTAAACATGATTCACATGACATACTTGAAAGCTGAGATTTTAAGCATTGACAGACCAAAAATAAAAAAAATAAAATATAAAAAAGCATACATTCATGAGAATTATCTTATCTCATGTGCTGAGTATTATCAATTCCTACACACTTTACCTTTGGATGCAGCAATCTAAGTGCAAGAAGGAGATTATTTTTAATGGTAATATTTATATGATAATGACAAAGAGAGATAAATTAGAAAAAATTTACCCAAGCGATTCCAATCTTACACAACTGACAACAGAATTATCAGATCACATTTGAACTGCGACTCACCAAATTCAAAACAATGAAGAAACCTTAAAAATGCACAATGAAGAACCTTCAGGTACTGGATCACAGACAATAACTGCATGAACTTGACATGAAATAGAGCAAAACAGGCCAAAGAAACTGTAGCATATCTCAATGTTACAAGAATCATGAAAGAAGAAGAATGGAAAATAGTTAGAAAACATATAATTCAGTCTTGGGAGGTAATCAACTTTTACCTGCTAACAATTCCATCAAGAGGAAAGAAGAAACTCCATTAATAAAAGGACCACAAAAAATCAAGACTAACTAAGAGTTGCTGAGTAAAGGAAAATCTCAATCTAGCAAGTCTTGTAAATTTAATTTGAAAGTGAAATTCAATAAGCACTTAGTAGATTATAACCTTGAACCAAACATTTAGAAATCTCAGCAATTATCACATGTTGTCTTCAAAAATCTTGCTCTATCAAGCCACCCTCAGAAACACAAAGTTGATATTAATCAACCTAAAAGAGACACATTATTGTCAATAAAAAATTAATATTCATAATCTGATCGATAGATCAATTTCAAAAGCATTCACTGGTAGACATGTTCATTAAATTCAGAGCATAGTAAGGCAGTAACTTTGAGGAAGTTATCCCCTGACATGGAGAAAATATTGATGAGCACCTGAGTCAAGTTATATAGTTATGAAGCATCAAATTTGATCCCAATGATCATAAATGAAGAGAAGAATATCCATCAATTAAAATTACAAAAATGAATAGTGCTGAGAAAAATACCCTTAAGTAAGGGCTTAGTTATTATCAGTGGACTTGGTTTTCATCCCTCTCCAAATGGAGAGATGACTCTCCATCATCATCTTGAATGACCCCATTTGTTGATGGGATGAAGGCAGAAGAACCATCACATTTCAAGCATGGCCAAACCTGTACTTTGTGAAGGAAACTTTGCCAATGCTCTTGGTGGGATGGAAGCAGAGGTAGTAGATCAGCATCAATATGATGCCAATGAAAAAGGTCACAAAATGTCCTCCAAAGGCCCACACTGTGTACCATAATTGGATGTGTACAACATTCACGAACCACATTATGATCATGAAGGCATTCTCAAGAAACATTAGGATGTAGAATGGGACATAGTGCCAAAATGTGGGCTCATCGTTGATGTTGAGGTACTGGAAGATGTAGATGAGGGTAACAAGCAGGTCAAAGAAGACCTCCTTGTAGCGGGAGCCACAGATGCTCGTCTTCATGATAAAATAAATGTAAGGCCATACGATGACCACATGGATGCCAGCAACAACAAACACCCCCCATTTATAGGTGGATGAAAAGAGACCCAAAGCCAGGACTCTGGCAGCTGAAAGAAAAGTCCCAACAACAATGAATAGATTTAAATAAGTGACACAGAACTAGTAATGCACTGACAGCAATACAGAGTATTTCCCAATATGATTGGAATCAGTATGACCCAATACTATAACTACATCAATATGAAAATTAGGTCAATACAAATACTAAACATTGTGCTTTTTTATAGGATTGGTCATTATTGCAGTGCAAAAGATGGCATTTGCCTGAATTAGGTGCATCAGATCTACATTGAGTATGAAAGGAAAAACCACAATCACCTGCTGATAGAAATCATGTGTTCTTCCCAAACCCCAAAAAATCGCAAGAGATAGGGCCCCACATAATAAAAAAAATTACAAACTAAAAATTGTTTTCACGAAAGGAGTTCTACTTTAAAAAGACATTCAACTTCCAGATTTGTCAGTATCTATGTAAAAAAATCTGCATTTGCAGTAAAGTTACATGTTGATGCAAAAATACTGCTTCAGCAGTTTTGCTACATAGATACGCCATGATAGTAATTGTAAAAAGAAAAAGAACACAAAGATCTAGGCTAGAACAGGCAAAACGGAGATTGTATCCCAAACAAATCCCAACCTACAATCAGAGTAGGCCCACTATGCTGCACATGGAAAAGCTCATTGTCATCTAGAGGCTTAGACTACAACATTAATGTAAGGTCTCTGCACATTGAATGGGACCAGGTCTATTCAAGACAATAAGCAGATTTTTCTCAAATCAACAGCTTCGTAGAAAAATCGAATTTGAAATGCAGCTTCCTCTCATACATGTATCATTCTCTGGTGCCATTCATGGCCAGGCTAGTGCACCTGACAGCACCCTGCTTCTGGCCTTGTGCTTCCTCAAAGTTTTTTGTTGCTGTCCCTGTTATGAATGCAGATCACATCTGCAAACTGTCTATTTGTAGGAGTTCCCTGCTCTGCCAAAAAATGGTGGGAAATTTTACGGATATGTGTGTTGAGCACACAAAGAAAAAGTAAATTTAAAGAAAAAAGCTTGAGGCCCAGAGATAAATTTTGCCTGTTTCAAGAAAAAGGGCTAATTTGTTTGGCATTCAGAGAAAAGTTTGGCACAGCCCTGCCCAATACCCACGTAGATGTTCTATCCATAATTTCAGTTTTTAATTTTGCCAAGGTAAGCCACAAGACTCTCTCTGAACCTTTAATATGGTACATCACAAGTCTAACAGTCACTCCCTCCTGCTAAATCAGTGAAACTAGAATCAGAAACTATGGGTCATACCATAGTTAAAAAGTCCTTCTGAAATTCGTGCCTAGATCAAACAGAAAATGTGAAAACCTGGAACAAAAATACAAAAGAAACAAGAATAAAACTTACTGAGAATAGAGAGATGCCAGTAAAAAAGTATGACTGTTCCCTTCCAGGAGATATTCTGTTTACAAGGGAGGGCATATCGGCAGGCACGGCCATATGCAGTTATTGCCCATGCCATACTGCACAGAGACATCACTATTGATACCACCAACTTTGCAACTGCAGGCAAGAAAAAAAAATGTCAACACAGCATACTTGCAAGCATGCCAACCACATTATCATGGGTATTGAGATTCAGTAGTAGGTACATGATATGCTAAATTATCATGTGCTAATTGGTATAACCTATAGCACTAAAAAAATTAAAAATAAGTATTTAACATACTTGCAAAACCATAAAACATGGTGGTACAAACATTTCAAGAAAGGTATCTTGTACCATTAGTGGTTAGCAACCTTTTGAGACAATATAAATTGCAGAAAATTCTCATTTGTAAAAAAATTCATGAATAACAATGTGCCCATTTCACCACAGCATGAAATCCAGTCTGGTAAAACAAACTGTACCAGTCGGCCCAAGATGAATCAAGATGAATTCTTTTGTGTTGCAAGTGTGCAACACCAAAGAACCAATTTTGGAAACCCCATCAGAGTTAAAGATGAAAATTCTGCAGTCATAATTAACCTTCATTGTACTGTATTCAAATCCAAGCTATAGGGGCCAGTGGATTGATTTAATTTAGGACTTTATATAATATAGTGCAGACTTTTGAAGTTACGAATATAGAGGAACAAATTTAGGCAATGCCGAAACTCCTGAGACCTTAAGTTCCCTTCGGTCTGATAGAGGTAAAAAACCAACAGGGAAAACGCTCAACACAAGCTCACCCATGAAGGGACTTCCATCTGCGTAGGCAGCCCCGTACAGGACAAGGATGTAAAACTGCATGAGCATCTGGGGCCCAGCCTCAACAAATGTTTCCACCAGGTAAAGGAGGGAGGCATCTGCATCCTGCTTCACCATGCAATAGTACAATTTTCTCTCTTCTGCTGTTGCCTCACCCATCGTCACAGTGCTCTTCTGAACTCGCTTTCGTATCAGGGTCCGAAACTGCCACCCGTAACTCAGGGCATGGGCATACCTGTTCAAGGTAACAAAATACATTCTATTTGTTTCTGTGTTTTTCTTTAATTAAAATTCAGCTGACAGTGACTTTGCATTTTTCTTCCTCAGATACTTCAAGCAATCACCGCCATTAACTACTTAACTTGATTAGACTTCCTCTGTCTGCCTTCCTCTAGGTGAAAATGTATTTGGTGATAAACTTCCTGGCTAAGGGGTTAACTGGACATGTAAAAGATCTGTATTTGCTATTATGATCACATCACCAAAGAATTCCCTAATTTATTCGATGGTCTAGAATAGATGAAAATAACAGGCTACATTGAGAACTTTACTTATAATGCACCATGGAAAGACCATGAAATTCCTGTGGCACATGATCAGTTTAGACCTGAAACCATAGGAGAAAACAATAGACAATGAGATACCACATCACCTGTCTTTCAGCAAGGCCTCTGATAGGCTAAACATGATGATCTAGGTACTTCTGGGACCTAACCTGAGGATTGGAGCCATCTGGAGAATATGAAACAGGATTCGGAGTCCCCAGTCTGCCCGAGATTCTGGACCATTTCTTTCATCTTCTTTGTACCTTGAAAAGATAATGAATATATTATGCTCATGTGAGTCCCTCAACATTAGTTTCAACCCAAATCTAGGGGTTCCCTGTCTTCAATCTTTAACCTCCCATGGTAGGCAAAAAAAAAAAAAACTGCAAAGGTTAATGCTTGGCCTACTTAGCAATAGTCTAGAGTTCTAGGCAGCATCTATTGGCTTAGCTGACTCGGTCCTCATATAGGGGACAAGCCAGAAGCCACCTAACTCATGGCTCTCCTCAGTTGAAACCAAGGTGGCTTTCTAAAGTGAAAAAGAATGTTAAAGGTAAAGCCTAAAAGTTCACAAAAGCTGCTGCATATTCAAAAGCGATGGCTTGCACCTTGTCCTGCCATGTTTAGAGTTTCCAGCAATTTCCTGCATTAGTACCAATTAAGATACAAGATTTCACAAAATCTACAGTTAGGGTTGGGTTCACTCAAAGCCCAAGCAGTGTGCAGGGAATAGAGTCTTAAGGTGATTTACTTGATTTCAAAGCAATTCCCCCAGGCCAAAAAAGAATTTCCCAACTTCTCAATATAAGACATCTTAAGTTGGTTAACATGCATGTCATCTATTTTTTCCTCTCTTGAAATAATGAAATGAGTTTTTAAATGAACATAATATTCTTCAATAATGAAGAGCTGTCTAGTTTTGTGCTAATAGGCTGAAAAAAGAGTGCTAAAAATCTTCCAAGATGGCAAATGAAAAACCTTCCTCTATCTTGACAGACAATTCAGCATTCAGTGGGCTGTTGGAAGCCCCTCATGCTAGGAGCAATGATCACGATTCCTAGCTCGTTCCTGAAGTTGGGGCCAAGCCAGCTCGGCGAATAGACACTGCCTTTGCCACAGACAGTCCCATAGGCTAGATCACAGTGCACTTTTACATGACTGAAGATGACTGACATGAAATGTTTTTGAGAGTCATATACTAGGCAGTCTTCCTTGTGAGAATCTGGATGGTCAAGAAATATGCTGTAGAAGATGTCGTTCAGTTTTTATTGCAAAGGACAGAATAGAACTGACAAGCTATGATAGTGCTATTGAGGTATTCTCTCAGATACTGGAGTGGGGCCCTTGAAGCTCACCAAAACTCGAGTAGTGACCCTCCAGCAAAAATTATTGCCTACCCCTGGCCTAAGAGCATATATGGGCATGGGCTAGGCTAATGCTTGAAATTCCCTGCGGTTTACTCACCACACCCAGCTGAGTACAGTGAGGACAAGTGATGTGAAGATAACAATCCCGATCGTCAACCCGAAAAAAACGTAATCTCCCAGTACGTAGTACCCATGCGCTAGCCATAGGTCACTCCCGATGTCACACAGGTACAAGCCCATGGAGTAGACGATGAAACACGCGTCGAACAGGTTAAATCTGAGATTCTCGGGCAGCCCGTCGACTTCATCCACCACAGAGACCATCACACGGGGTTCCCCCCCTGACCCCTCATCCGACGAGTCACACTCCGGGTCCCCCATCCCGTCTACGAATGCTCCACCCACGAGACCGAACCTCACCGGGCACGTCAGATGTCTTTCGCAGGGTTGCACAACCACACGGACCCCTTTCTGGATGAACGGGTTGCACCAAGACGTGAAATGCTTGTGATTAGCTGCATCGCCTGGCGCATGATGTAGGTTATTGCATTTCCATCCCTTTCCTAATCTCTAGGGATCTCCCGTAACCTTCCGCGACTCGAGTGCCTCACGAATATGCAAAAACTGCACTCAAGGGATATAATTGCAATTCATTTAAATGATTACATCATCACCAACTTGATGATATGATAATTTAAATGGCCACCCATTTGCAGTGCTCCCAATATCAATTCATGACCATTACTTTAAGTATTTATGATGAGGTAGTTCGCGGGCACATCGATAGGTTTCGGAACTGAACGTACCATGAAAAGACAGAGATCGGGCATCCCTGGTTACTTCCGCATCACATCTGCGGCTGACCAAAGACAGGTGAATCTGGCAGTGTTCCAGTGATGAGCGAGATTCACTCTCGCGTGGGCGAGACCTCAGCTCATTCAACAAAGTGATTCGAAGTTCCTCACTGACGACTGGGAACGAGAGACCATCGAATCGACCGAAGCAGCCATGAAGTCGTCAGAGTGAGATGCCGAACTCCAGGGGCTTCCGTTCGTTCGGTGCAAATGGTTTCTGGAAACGTGAAAATCCCCATCGCTTCTAGACGGTCGTGCCTGTGAAGTGGATAATCCTACGATTCATCGCAAGGTACTCTGAGCGCAGCAGGATTTTCTCCCATTGTAAAAGTCAACCGTATATTCAGAAAAAAAATACCGTCCGTGCCGGCATTCAATGGATATTCAAAGTGGCATTTGACGGAAAGAACTGGAAAGAAAATCCCTTGTAATTTTTTATTATGGATTGTGACGCCCAAGAAATCTGCAGTCATTACTTCTCCACATTCTTTTCAGATCATCATGGCACAAAAAGTCTTAATTACCTCAAAAAGTCCTCATGTAAATTAGGGCAATTCAAAGCGATGTAGATTAACTGGAAAATATATATCGCCAGAGAGCATTCGTTTACTCGAAAGAAATCCATAGTGCTGTGAGTTCTATGCAGAGCCGGAGTCAACCGTCGCGAGACCACAGAAAGAAGTCCTCTACAAAACATTTGGTTTTGTGAAACGCATCTTCTGACTGCGCATGCGCCCCACTCGCGTTGTCAACCGACCTCCACCCCCTCCCCCTTCCCCTTCCCCACACCCGGGGGGGCTCGACCCGTGCTATCTAGCGTGCGAACGGTCGGGCTCTATCTTGTTCGTTTGCACGCCCACTCTGCGGATTTCCTTTGCAGTGAGCTGTAAATACAGGGTGATTCAAAAAAAGCATTACCACTTTTGGGGGTTGCTTTGTTTTCTCATTTCAGTGATAGCATGGAGTTGAAATGACTGCTAGATTAAGTGCGGAGCAGCGTCGGAAGGTAGCAGCTTGGATCTACATAAGTTGTCCGCAGAACGCATCGACATTTTTTCCACGTGGCAAGTCGAACGTTCGTAGCGGTAACCTTTTTCGCATCACCCTGTACGGGGCTTGCGGGAAGGGCGTCCGTGGAGGTCCTGCTCGTGCAAACGCCACAGCAGTGGGCGTGTGGAACCTGTTCGGAGTCGGATGGCGTTTGTTCGGGTGGATGCGAAGAATTTCCGCGGATTCCAGCGTTTTTTGACATCGGTGCCGTTTTTTTTTATCAAGTCGAACCTGCAGGGTTCGATCGAAAATGGGAAAGTGGTTCCAAATCGACAGTGGCTGATTCTGCCGGGAACTGACCGTAGTGACCCCGACCCCGTCGTCGTTCCGGTCGTGATGCGACCTCGAAAATCAGGTCAAAGACGGGATTTCCCCACGTCGGGAGCCAACTGTTCGTCTGATTCGCGTTCGATCCAAGTGTCATTGGGGAGAAATCTCGAAGCCTCAACAAAAAAAAAATCCTGACAGCCCATTTGCACAAGAAGGGCGTAGAGATAAATTATCGAGTGTTTGATCGGTGAATGCCAGGCAATTGAATATAAATTCATGATTGCATATAATACGCTTTTTCTGAGGACTTTCCGACGGAAACGTTCTGAAGAACACTTCAATTTTCACCGGCGGTTCTAGTCGGTGGAATTCTTTGGCGAAGATGAAATCTTGGAAGATGCGAAAAAAAAATCGGCTAATGGGAGTTTTTCCCGGGTGGAAACCCGACGACGTCGTGAGCTTCGATGACGGTTTTGTGGGATTTTGTGGATTCTGCATCTCCGGGATTCGGACGCCGGGTGCGCTAAATTCTCACGGTGAGTCTCTTCACGGCCTCGGGGCGTGAGGCGGGCGTGGTGCGTGAAGGCGGCCCTCAAGGTCTCTGTGACGTCATGGCTGGCTTGCGTTTATCTAAAATTTGAATTCGGCATCAATTGAAAAGGTCCACGATGGTATTGTGCAGGTCTTTTTAATACACTTCTCACGATTATTCTTTTTCCAAAAACTTCGTAAAACTTATTTTTTTTTGTAATTTCTAACAAAGGGGGATCTCACGCCGCGTTATTATTCTAGTACTTCTGGTACCTAAATGTCTCCGTTATATTCCCTCGTCAGCTGTCGACATCGGCCGTTGCGGCTATTAGCCTGTACGATCGCATCCCTTCGAATACTTGAACTTTGTCGCACTGTTCGCTGTGCAAAATTGATGGAGCGCAGATCATCCTGTGACGGCAAGTAGCAGTAAAAAAAATGTTTAGTTGCATGGAATTTGACTGTGGACGTCGGGTGCAAATTCATCATGCAGGACCGATTGTGCTCGTTGCCGTTGGAGGCACAGTGCTAGTTAATTGAAATAAATTTTGCGCAGGGGAAACGTTTACGAGGACTGATTTTCTGGATGGGAGAAAAAAAATGTCAACAATGCAAATGCACGAAAAATAGGAGTAGTAATAAATAAATTACATGAAATAGGAAATTTTCTCAAGAAGGGCCATGATATCGCAGCACTAGGGCATCGTTCTCATAATCCTTAGGATTACGAGATGGATGTTTACGGTTGAAGATCCACGAGAGATATATAATCTTGTCAATCGATCGCTTCTGAAACTTTTTTTTTTGTTAGAAACGGCGGTTGCATGAATTGCACGGTCCGCCATTTTTTTAACCCCGAGCCGAAAAGGTGACATTTAAAAGTTGTTTTTTTTTTTCCATTGTCTTTTGAATCGCGTCTGGGTTTCATCACACGCTGGATATCGTGCGTCGTTGTTGCTCGAAAAATACATGCATTTCCACGAATATTTTCAAAATTCGCAGCTCCAGAAAAAAACAGCAGACTTTTGTGGTGGGGGTTGGAGGAATCAGATTAACAGGAACGAGAGAATTCCTCACGCGCCTTTGGATGTCGGTGTTTTGTCTTTCTCGAGAGGGCTTTCTGTTGATTTTTCATATGGAAGGCATGCATCCGGGAATGAGAACCCAAATATGACGAAGTCATTTTCTTCCGAGACTGTGCTATGAAACGTAGGATTCTAAATTTGACATTTTTTTAAGCGGCAAAAAGCAAGCGCTGAAACAAAACGTCTTTACCCCCACACCCCTAGGACGAAAATCAGCTTTCACTAAATAGGTTTTCCTCCGACGGATTGAGTTCATCTGATTTATTCGATATTTCGAACGTCGTCCATTTGACTCATCGGCATTTCAAGTATTCGATAATGCCACTTCCCGATTTAGGTAGACTCCCGACATGCTTTTTACTTATTCCTCTCATATTTGACAATGCACAAGTTTTAGGATTTGAAAGCGAGCATGGGAAAATATGATTTCGTCAATCCTACCTAAAAATAAATTTGAAATAATTTATTTAATAGACTTTTGGGTCCCACAACTCCCTTCATGAGCATTGGGAAATTTCTTAAACAATAAAGGCATCAATGACGTCTCATGTCTGCTACAAATGTCAGAAATACGAGGCAGGAACATTAGTTCTTGGGAGCCTTGCTGTCACCGCGATTTTTACTTAAAGTGATTGCAGCAGAGAGAGTCTCAAGTTTTGACAGTTCCAAGCAAGTAATGCAGCTTACTTAGAATTTACCATTGCCCATCACTTAGCTTCCAGGTTGGAAAGATTTTGATTCTTGAAAATCATGACAAATCCAAAAGGGATGGTACAAAAGCAGTGCTGATGGTGTATTGCTTCTTAGTCAAGCTCAACTAAAATGAAACCTAAAATGGAAACCAGCCTCTTAATGTTGGTTTTCCTTTCAGGTTGCCTTTTGCCTCCAGTGAGGATTGCAAGGTCTTCGATTATTTCTAGCAACTAGAATTCATGGGTCAAAATCATAAGGGGCTTAGTTTAATTTCTAACCTCCTGGTTTTAAAATTAAAACAAAGCTTAAGGCAGCCCCCACTGAACTAGCAAGAAACTGGCAATATTGAAAGTATTGCAGGCATTCAAGAATTTCCAGACATACTGTGCTTCCAATGCTATGGAGCACTCGGGTAGTCAGGTCTTCTAAATGCTTCATATGGGCATCAGAACATGTGTCACATCTTCATAAAAATAACAAGTATTGAAAACATTTTCAAAGACTTCATTCCATTTCCTGGAGAGCATGCATAGATACCAAATTAGGCGATGCCTCAAAATTACATTAAATGTCTGAATGAGATGCCATCTTATGCAACAAAAAAGTCAGCAAAGAACAAAGTGTCAGAGGAGGTAATGACAAAACATGCTCCACTGGCAGACAAAACAAAAACTTCACAAATGGTACATCAGAAGCAGAGATTCCACAGAATTGAGAGAGCAAAACAGCTCAATAAAAACAAAACAGGACATATGCTCAGTGCACAATCTTACCCTATGTGCTGAGTAACGCTTATTCCTACAAAATATCTTGGAATGCAGGAATGTGAGTGGTCAAAAGAGAATCCACTGTTATGGAAAATGCAATATTACACACTGATAAATTAGCAATAATTTACCAAGCAAGACAAATACAACATTCCACAACAGACAACAGAAACATCAAGTATTTGACATACTGAAAGTTAATCAAATTAATAACTGAGAAGAAACCTCAAGATGGTATTATCCGAGTCCTTCAGGTACTGTATCACAGGCAAGAACTTCACAAACTGGACAGAAGAAAGTTTGCACAATATGTCAGAAACGAAATATTAGATCTCAGCAGAAAAATAGCAAATTCTGTGCATAGTAGCTAAAAGAAAGATTTAAAAAATTATGTCCCAGTCTATGGATGAATTTCACTTTTTTGCAAATGCATCTGTAGTAAAGGAAATGCCTTCATCATTCAATATTATGAAGGACATGCCTAACCAAATGTGAACACGTGAAATTGTGCAAAGAATGATTGGGAAATTAAGAAAATGTATGGAATTCTGAATATAGAAATGCATGTAGTCAAGCATATTATAATTGAAGATAAGAAACCTCCACACCTTTATCACTGTGTGCCATCCTGATTGAAGGGGTGTCCTTCATGAATTCCACTGCCTAAAGCCATCACATGAACAATTTGACATTTAGTCTCAAAGGGAGACATATATCACACTGAAAAAGAAATTGGCAAGGATGACTGCCTACTTGAAGGCCAAATGCAAACAAAACACATGTCCTTCAACAGCCAGATGTTTCAGATTATTTTTTAGCCTACTATTTTTTTCTTATATTAAAAAAGCCTGACCTCAAAATGTGAAAAATTGCACTCATGCCTTTATTTTGTTAATACGTAGTAATATGACTTCCATAAACTTTAGTCATGGGCTAGACTTGACTGAGCAATAAATCTGCAGGTTAGTCACACTTCAAAAGAATTTCACAGGAGATCTAGTGCCTTTCAATTCACAGCATAATGAGGCAGAAACTTTGGGATAGTTGCTTCCAGGAATAGAGAAAATCTCACTGAACACCTGAGTCACATCAGACATACAAAGTTATGAAGGCTCAAGTTTGATACCAATGGTCAGAAACCATTGGGAGAGAAATATCCATCAATGAAAACTATGACAGTTTATAGTGCTGAGAAAAATACGGGCCTAATTATTATCAGTGGACCTGTCTTGATCAATCTTTAAATGGAGACCTGACTCTTCATCCTCATCTTGAATGACCCCATTTTTTGGGGGGATGAAGACAAAAGAGCTTCCCCCAGACTTCAGGAGATGACGAGATCTATATTTACCAAGGAAACTTGGTCGGATGTTCTTGGTGGGATGAAAGAAGAGGTAATAAAATAGCATGAAGATGATACCAATGGCAAAGGCCACAAAATGTCCCACAAAGGCCCAGACCTTGTACCATAGCTGGATGCGTATAACTACCCCAAACCACATTGTGACCAGGATGGCATTCTCAAGGAACATGAGGATGTAGAACGGGGCATAGCGCCACAATGTGGGCTCATCATTGATGTTGAGATATTGGAAGATGTAGATGAGGGCAACAAGGATGTTGAAGAAGACCTCCTTGTAGCGGTGGTCACAGGCGGATGTCTTCATGATGAAGACAGCCCAAAGCCAGATGATGCTCACATGGATGCCAACAACCACAAACACCCACCATTTATAGGCAACTGAAAAGAGACCCAAAGCGAGGACTCTCGCAGCTGGAAAAAAAAAAAACCACATTCATGAGTGACGTGATGAAAAATCAAAGATATATCACTTTAGAACCAGGGATCAACTAACATAAATGGCAGGTATTAAAGTTGTTGGCTTCATTGCTACTGCAAGCTACAAGTATTTTTTGGAACTCAACTTTGTTGATTGAGAGTCACAAGCCTCTCTCCTTTTCATGCAATTAAAAAGAGACTTATGAAAACCAGGCATCAAATTACATTTCTCTAAGAAATCCCCCTCTGGGATTTCTAAAAGTTGAGCCTAGATTAACTGGCTCAGACTTTAGGGATCTGTCAACACTCAAGAAGTATATCAGTATAGCCTGATACTGAACTGCACCAGTACAGCCAATGGCAGCAGGTGAGAGGCTTAGTTGGTAGCAAGCTCACTTACCATGGCAGGGGATCTGGGTTCAAACCCAACCTAGTATATTTTCAAGTAGCAAGTCCTAGCATATTTTGGAAGGGAGACTCCAGAGTATTCATGTCTCAGGATGCCAGATCCCCAGTAGTAAAAGTTGAAGATCAAACTCAGACAGCACATCCCTAGAGTTACACATTTTAGCTGACATTGAGAGAGAGAGAGAGAGGCTTGGGGAGAAGTACAATGGGAAGGTGCATTGGGTGGTGTTTTATTATGAGCCTAAAGCCTCTTGTGGCTGATATGTCATCATGTTGTATCATATGGCATACAGGCCAACATTGAAGAAATAGATCAGTTTTGACCCTACTTGAATTGGGACATCCTGGAAAGAATAATCACTTTTCTCCTTGTTTCCTGAAGTGTGCACCATGACTGTATATGTTAGGCTCTGCCCATCACAACTTTCCTAGCATTGTTAGAAGTGAAGCATACAGGAACATAGCATAAGGCATGGGGCATCTATACCGCTTGAGAAAGGGGTATAGATGGTCCACACTGGACCCTATGTGTGACAGGCCAAGTGAATCTTGTTTACTCCACAAATCTAACAACTATGAGAAAAGAAACAGAAAGGAGAAGCAGAGAACAATGCTTACTGAGAATAAATAGATGCCAAGAGAATAGAATGAATGTTCCCCTCCAAGAGATGTTCTGTTTTGAGGGCAGGGCAAATCGGGAGGAGCGACTGTAGGCAGATATTGCCCATGCCATGCTGATCACAGATGTCACTATTGATCCCACCTGCACATAGACTATAGAGAAGGGAAAATATCAGGATCAGTATGCCTGCCACATTGGCATGGGGTACTCAGCATCAATGTTTAGTTTAAAAAAAAAAAAAGGATTCATTAAAGTAATACATTGTCTTCCAGGAGAAAAAAGTTCTTTTTTTTTTTTAAGCAGCACCATTTTCCAAAATGGTTAACATCACAACATTGCACAAATATATGGATCTTCATTTTCCTCTAGAGCAAACCATAGAAAAAATGTTCAGCATGGCTCACCAATGAGGGGGCTTTCATCAGCATAGATCTCCCCATGCCGGACAAGTATGTAAAACTGCATGAGCATCTGAGGACCTGACTCCACAAATGTCTCTACCAGACGAAGGAGAGAGGCATCTGCATCCTGCTTCACCATGCAGTCATACAATTTTTTCTCTTCCACTGTTGCTTTGGCTTCTGGTATAGAGTAGTTTTTCACGCCTCGTTTTCTTAGCAATGCCCGAAACCGGAAGCCATATTTAAGCGCATGCGTATACCTGTTCAACAAAACCAAACACCCATGTTTAATCCAGCCAGCAAATTTCAACATGGTAACAGTCTACAACCATTGGGTAAATTGATTTTAGTCACTAATGAACTATATTTTCCTACAATCACTGTCCATTTAACATGTTTGCTGTCAATGATGCACCTTGTAGTTATCCTTTCCATAGAAACGAGTGTTATCGGCAGTGAACGTGTTAAAGGATCTTCATCAGCAGCCAATTTTATTCACTCTTCTATTTGTCCATTTCAGCAGAAAATTTATTTTCCATCCAATCAAGTGTTCATTTCTGTCATTTGCCAACTCGAATTTATCAGTTAACTGCAAAGCCCATCATGTATCAACTCGCACTCTTACAGCCATTCATTTCAGTCAATTTTAGTCTTTACATCGTTAAATATAATTTCTGTTTGATCATCAGTGATTATCAAAATCCCTTCAATGCTATTTTGTCAAAGAAATTAACACAGCTGAATACAATCAGCTGCTTGGTCCTTCATATTAATCAAGTTAATTTCACAGTTAATGTGATTTTGCATGTTATTTCTGGATCATCCTCTACTAACCTAGTAGTTCCAAATTACCCCAACCATCATTAAAATTCAACGTTCAGGCCATTCTATAACTTTCTTGGGAACAAATAGAATCTGAAGTTGCATCTGTGATAATATTACTAAAGAAATTACGTGATCAATAAGTTAGCTTGATTAAAATACAGTAAAATTCCCTAACTCAAACTTTTCGGGACCGGGCAAATCGTTTCAAGTTATCAGAATCGCCCCCCTCCCCCCCAAAAAAGCAGACTCACGTTAAGGAACATAGGGAACAGAATGGCTCGGAGTGAGAGCGATAGCTTGACAGAGCAAATGTTGGAGGCTTTTTTTATAGCCGAAGCTTTTCAGGTTTAATCCTCTCCACAGGTGTCTGTGTGGGAGGAGGGAGAAGCAGAAAAAAAAAAAACAAAAGAGCATCCTCCCGAACGGGTTTCTTTTTTTTATAGCCGAAGCTTTTCAGGTTTAATCCTCTCCACAGGTGTCTGAGTGGGAGGAGGGAGAAGCAGAAAAAACAAAAACAAAAGAGCATCCTCCCAAACGGGTTTCTTGTCATTCATTCTATTAAAAAAATCGAAAAGTCCCACGAGAAGAATTTTCCCCCCCTTCTCACCCGGAATTCGAGTTAACCGTGAGCAAATCGCCATGGGGAGTGAAAATTTCATTCGAGATATCCGGAAATTCGAGATAAGCGAATTCGAGTTAAACGAAGCTTTTAACATGGTGTCCTACGGGGTTCCTCCGGGACCAAGCATTGAACTTCGAGATAAGCGGAATTTCGACTTATCAGGATTCGAGTTAACGAGTTTTCACTGTACATGGAAAATCCTTAAAAAAGAATGAAGATCACATCACATGGGAGTTTCATGACTTCCAACAAGTTGATCCTGTAATGTCAACAATTCTTGAATTGGTATTCTTTTTTGTTCTGTACCTTTGATAAGCAACTTGGTGTTCTAAGTAAAAGTTGTCTGTTAGGCATTCTTTTCCTTTTGGAAAAAGTTTCTGCATTTTGTGAATTTGCTATTGAATGCATTTTACATTCAGTTTCTTCTGCCATCTGGATTTTCAAAGCTGTTGCTATCAAATTCAGCCCCACTCTATATTGAAGTTTCTCCTCTTTCAGGCTAGAATCAATAGAAAATGTGGATCCATAGATATCTGTTTACTTAGCAGAAATACTAAGATGTAAGCCTATAAAGATGCAGTATAAGGGCAGTTTCTTGATCCTATTTATGCTAGTAACCACAGATGCTAATGACCAGATTTTTTTTACTCCTCCCAAGCACAGCAACTTCTGATAGGGAGCTTTATAATCTCTCAAGAATGTTCATCACGGGATGTAAAGGTGCAGTCAATAGCTTTGAGTCCATTTGCTCATACCCAATATATAAGTTTTGTATGTGAAAATAAGCTGTCTCACCATGTCCATAGAACTTCATATGGAGAGCTGCAGAAAGCCGACTACTTGTAATCAAGGATGTGTCAGTGGGGTGGGGTTGGGATTGAAACCTCCCCCCTTGAATATCTGACATTCTGGTCATTGGTAGTCTACACACCCAAATGTTATGGATATCAGCACCAAACTGTGAACTACCAGAGAAACTTTGTCTATCCCATCACAGGTGCCAATCCTCAACCTATTGCATGCCTGTGGTGGTGTTAAGAATGAGGAAAATGCATGGCACCAACCCGGACATGTTTTCCTGACATCTGCAGGAAATTTGGTGGTGCTCAATGATCCAAGGCACCAATACTTCCTTATTGAGAGACATTTGCTGAGTGCTTAATTGAAGGTTGAAATTGTATCATTATGCATTAACAAGTTCGTTAGGTTCTTTGTGTCACGGTACTTTGAAGGGTTATGCCATTGTGTTATGTGTAGACCACCAAGAACCAAACACCAATAAATACAGGGTGTTTCAAAAGTCCCTCATTATCTTTAAAAATTTATTAAAACAACAATTACAAGAGGAATCAAATGACAATTTGGTTGCAGAGTCTACGATTCACGAGAATTTTGGTGGAATTAAACTTGGCTTCATATGTCTACTAGAAAGTCACTGGTACACCTCAACGTGGGCACCACCTTTTTCGAAACAAGCGAGCCACCGTTTCACGCATTCTTGGCCAACATTAACATTTCGGGAGTAACAGAAGCACATGCGTTTCTGATCCGTTCTTCTAGTGCGGGGAGGTCTCACGGCCTGGTGGCGTACACTTTGCTCTTAATGTAGCCCCACAAAAATAAGTCGCATGGTGTAAGATCCGGCGAGTGAACAGCCCATTCGACGGGACCACGGCGACCAATCCACCGATCCGGGAACTGCTCATTCAGAAATGAGTGAACCTCACGTGAGTAATGAGCAGGAGCACCACCTTGCTGGAAAATGACTTCTTGCATGTCCGCTACAGCTGACAGTTGGGGGATACAGAACTTCTGAAGCATACGATGGTAATTTTCTCCGTTGACGTTTACGGAGTTTCCATCTTGATCCCGGAAGAAAAACGGACCAATCAGCCCAGCTGAGGAGATGGCACATCAGACGACCAATTTCG